GATATTCAGTTTTAAGGCCGATACAGGCCGATACCGATAGGGGGCCGATTATATCGTGCATCCCTACTAAGGACATTGAGCAGCTGTGATTCTGGTCTACACTTGAACTTTCAGAACAAAGAAGACAGATTTGACAACCAAAATATACAAATCTTGGACATAGAGGACAGATGGTTTGAAAGAGGGCTAAAGGAAGCCATCTTTGTTAGGATAGAAAAGCCATCACTAAACCGAGGGGGAGGATTGTGGTTTTAGTTTTAAGCATTTACAACTTGGTCCTTGAACTCATTCCAAGGAAATTACACAACAAAACTCTTCATGATTTGAATGGCAAAACACAAAGCCATAGTTGATCTTTACTGCATACGCCATCCTAGAGTCACTCACAATATTAGGTGCAAATCAGGGAGGAGGGGAACTCATGTCGCCTTAGACATAAAGCTGCCTTGGACGGCTGCTCCCTACATCACTATCAGAATCTGCCAGTGATACTGATGCCTTTGGAAAGTGCAGCATCTGGGTTTTAATCTGAAAGGTTGCTTCTGAGGCTTTTTTTTTATTTATCTGTTGACCTTGGGTGTTTATCATTTCATTTCATTCCTTTTCGTGGCTGGATTGGCTGAATCCATTCTATGGGTTAAATAAGTATTTGAACACTTATTAGCCTCTGGTACTATAATATAAGCCTATTGTGTGTAAATATTGTGTGTAAATGAATAGTGAAACTAGAGGTTGTCCCGCTTATTTTATTTTACATGGATAATTACCTTAAAACAGTTAAGGTGAGTCTGAATTTATATTTTTGGCTTCATGGAATGAGCCTTATTATTCACCTTCTTAATTCTGGAGGTGCCCTGTTTTTTTTTCTTTCCCTTTTCCTTCAACTATTCATGCTTTTGAAAAGCACATTTATTAGAGATGAAATATTCGTGATGAGACAGCCAGTTTGTGTTCTCAGTGAAAGCAAGACTGAAGGTGGATGTTCGCTTTTTTTTAAAGCAA